CTGGAGGTGGAGCAGGGACCTGTGAGAGCTGACTTGAGTGGGAGAGGGTGGTGATTTGCTTCTGCTGGGGATGGAGGGTGGTCAGCAAGGCTGCGAGGGTGGGCAGGGAAAGGAGGGGTGGGGAAATCAGAGATGAACACAGCCAGGAGAGGGAGATGGAGGACAATTAAATTAATTACTGCTCTAAACCCCTGCAATTTAAGCGGTCCTGGGCCTTTGAGGCTCTCGTGAGATAAGGAATCGCCACCCCGTGAGAAGTGGTGACGCAGAGCAGCCTGACCTGTGGCATCCGTGCTCCGGCTTGTCATTTGTGCAGATCTTGCTGATGGAGAAGACAGCCCTGACTGCGCTCCGGAATCGGCACCATCCCCGCTGCAGAAATCCGCTGGTGAGGAAAGGCGCAGGCTGCCGTCACCGGGGGACAGGGGAGCTGGCGATGGCTAGAGCTCTGGGCATGCACCCGCGCTTTGGGCTGTAGTCCTTCCCTATCAAACACCAGGCTCTGTTCCTTGATGTCGTCCGTTCTGACACCATTCGCAGCAGAAGCTGAAAAGCCAGCGCTGTCTTCGGAGCTGTGCAAAGCAGCGGGTCCCCAGGGCATCTGTGGGTGCTGGTGCCATGTCCCCCTCCTGGCTTTATCACCAGGCTGGAGATACCTGCAGGTTTTCTTCACATCCTCAGGTCACGGGCCTGCAAGGGAATCTGGTATTTTTAAAGAAAGGAGACTTTTGGTCCTCACGATGGTGAAAATACAGTTCTTGAGGCCACAAGGCTGATAAAAGACCCACAATTCCCACAATCTTAAGTAGCCCCGAATTTTTAAGCCTCTCTCCTCATTGGCTTCGGTCGGTGTTGAGCTGGTGGGTATTGAACATCTGGAGTTTCTAGGAGAGGGATGGGGCGGCCGGGGGCTGGTTAAATCGCTGAGGGTCCTTACGGGAGACGCAGGGGAACTGCACGGCAGGACGGGGAAGGGGCTTTGCTTCTCTTCGGCGCCCGGGTGCCCCCAGCCTGGGTGCAGCGGTGGGTGGGCTCCAGGTGCCAGCAGAGAGCAATGGGCAGGAGACGGCGCGGGGGGGGTCACGGCGCAGTTGGGGGAGTCAGGAACCGCTTTGTTTTGCTGGAAATTCTGAAAAATAAGTTGGCAAGCTGAAAAGTTTAGTTTGACCCAGAACAGCCCTTTAAACAGCTCAGTCGGCCTGAAATGTCATGTTTTAGGTTGGCCTTCAGCCGTTAGTTAGCTCGGAGTAGTTCTGCTTTTCATTAAAGGAAATATGTAAGAAACAGGAAAAAAAAAATCCAAATGTGACATTTAGAAACCGGAAATTAAATGCTTTGACTTTTAAAACAATTAGTGCAAAGAATTAAAGTAAACCAAAACAGGTTTGTGAAGAATTTCTGAGTCACCAGATCTTTAATTTTCACCGAAACGAATCTGACCCACGTACGCGTGTCCGGTTCTGCGGAACGACGCCCAGGACCCGGCACCGCTGTGCTCGGCGCAGCGAGAGGCCGGCGTGCTGCGGACCCGGTGCTGAGCCAGGCTCTATCCTTGCAGTGTGCAACGTCTTGTACCTCAGCTCGGTCAACGTGGAGACGCTCACGGGAGCCCCGGCCATCCAGAAAGCCATCTCCTCCACCTTC